CTGTGCGGTTGCCAAGTCCACCAGGGCATCGGCGGTAGTTTAATTTTCCAGATGTCTCGGTGAATTACCCAATTCCACATGCATCCTCTCCATGGACCTGGCGGGATTCGGTATGTGGGAGCCCACCCCCCCCCCCAATCGGTCCATATGCTTGGAAGGAGCATTGAGAACGTTCACACTTCCACCCAGAAAGCCTCCAAGTATGTCTCCATGGCCACAGATCAGATGGTACTCCTGATGTGTCTGTAAGGGCAGTGGGCCAAGCCTGAACATGCTAGATCCCACTGCAATACCTTCCCAGCCTTAGTGATATTCAATACCATTCCTGTCAGCAACTTCTGGGTCATAGAACTAAAGGCGGAGATAACATGTAACTCACCAATTCCAGCCTGTACCTGGGTTAGCTGTGCCCCAGAAATAAGGCTAGTGGCCTTTTCTAATTGCCCCAATTTCTCATCATGTTCTTGGTTCTTAAAAATATTTCAAACTGCTGCTGCACTATTGGCCCCATCCCATAGGGATCCGGTCAAGTCACTTTTCTTTCTAGAGGAAATAACCCAAGCCCTCTGTGTGCTAATCTAATGGCAGCCCCCTGTGAGCAATTTGGGTATGTAGAGGTGATCTGGAAACTGGATACGGGTAATGAAAATTTAACAGTCCCTAGTGTAGTGTTAATCACAGTCCATTGATATCCTAATACATTTCTCTTTGGTGTAGTACTATACCACATTCCCAAGCATGGGTCCCGCAAGTTTCTTCCTGCCAGTGTATAATTCTTTGTTTCTTCACCAGGGTCAGTTCTTAATGTCTCTTGTAAGCAGGAATCCCTGGACTTTGATGGTTTCAATGGAGCAAGTGTTCCTTCTTCTCTTTTCCTGAAACAGTCATGGTTCAGCATCATACAGGGGAGAGGTTACTAGCACATCACCCTGTAATGGTTTTGCGTCTTCTAAAAAAATTTCAAAGGCACAGTAGGTCTGTCAGTGGACAAGGGAGAGGTTACTAGCACTTTACCTTGTCTTTTTTCCTGGTGTCCAGAAGGCACAGCAGAGCTAGAAGGAGAAATAGGCTTATCAGTCGGAGAGTCCTCCCGAGGTGGAGGGGTCTTTTTACAGTGAGAAGCATGGGTCCAGGTAGGCAGTCCTTGGCACTTCACAGCGGTGTTGGTGGTTAACAGGACTTGGAAAGGGCCTTTCCAGCATGGAGCCAAAGCAGTCTTTCATTGGTGGATCTTTACATAGACTCAGTCTCCTTGTTTCAATGAACGGCAGGGCTGCTAGGGTCTTTGGGTAGCACTTCTTTTATCTGTGAGAAAAGAAACCTAACACACTTCATTAATGCCTGGCAGTGTTTTGCAGATCTCATAGTGCTTGGGCACATTCAGGCTCCCCTTTTCTTGGCTGTCAGGCAAGTCTTAGCTGTCGGCAGTGTCCTTGGATGGGGCCAGCATCTTATCTTTGGACTGAGCTTGCTAGCTATTTTTTTTCCCAGTTAACTCGTTCTGTTCTTTTTCCTTCTCCCCTTCTTGGGTTCTTTTAACCTACAAAGGAAACTTCCACTCTTCACTCATACACCTTTTCCCAACAATGAACATATACACATTGCCATTATACAGTACATTAGTCTTATTATTCAATGTATGCCATTTACCCTTCCAGTAAAATAACTTTATTACAGAGCTTTGGAGCAACAAACCAGGACAAGCTCACCCACTTTTGAGGAGTTCACTCGGTACAACCTCTGGTGTCCAATAGCTTTTCTCCCTCCCCAGCCCTCTGGCTAGAAATCTGAGGTAGCCAGAAGGATCCCATGGGCAATATGGGAAGTGAGTTATCCTTCCATGTCCTTGCTTCCAAAGACTGTTGGTATGCAAATTTTAACAACAATTTTGGCCACAAGACAAACACCACAAGACAGGACATAGAACACAAAAATAATTCCTATTGTGCCAGTAAATGCATGGTACGTTGAATGCTAATCAGCTGGCATCCGTTTTCTCTGATGATCTGAAAGACAAAAGAACAGAGGTCTACCCCTTCTGGGCAGTCAGTCATTGCTTAAAATATTTCCTTTATATACACATACTCTTGTTGATTTTAGGCAAAACAGAGGAATCACCCCATAGTTCCTGGTATTTGTTTCATAGGCAGCCCAGGTTTCAGTGGCTTCTACCTTATTAGTTAGAAAATTGCATTAATACAGATGCTTTCTGGCTTGCTTCCAGATCCAAAGCTATCCACAGCTTAAAGATTCTTACTTAAAAAGGGACACAATTAACTTTCCCAGACTTTTGATTGCCTTTTACTTCTAACTTCTGCTTTCAAACACACACTGATCTGAAAAAGACAACACAACCTATATTGGTAGGTTTGCATTTCTTTTACCTCTACTACAATATACACTGCACATGTTCTGGGGAAAATGTACATCCTCTCCACAATTCAATTTCCACAACACTAGCCACATCAATTTTTACACAAGGTGTAACTATTTCTTTTGTGCTTACAAAATCTCCATGCACCCCTAGTAAGACAGTTCGACCACATAGAGCCAGAGGCACTGTCCTTCTCTCTCTTTACCAGATCTTTCATCTGCTATTTTGTAACCCAAAAACAAATTCAAATCTTTTATTCTCCTGGCTTTGACTACCCTGCAGCAGCCACAACCTTTGGTCTTTATTTAAAACATTTTAAATCTTGTAAAGCATTAAGTCACCTTAAGGATTAAAGGCTAAATACCATATTAAACAACACTAGTTTCCCTTATCTGGCAAAAGTATTCTCGGTTTTTGCAACTTTAAACAATACCAATTCATCTCAAACTTATAAAACACAGATCCCACAAAAAACAATAATCCATTTGTCCCGGTGCCTGGTTTTCCAGTACCAGGCACAAAGGAGTTAAGTAAGTCGGAATGTCAAAAGATCCGGATTCGGGCCAATCAGTGCCCAGGGCTTGCCAATCCTGGGTGCAAAGCTGCAACAAGCGTCTCTTCGACATTCTTTTCTGAACACCGGGTAAAGGCCATTTACTTAACATATAATCCAAAGGGCTATCCTTAGAGGGTTTCCTCTGAAGCCTGGTCTACACTACGACTTTAATTCGGATTTAGCTGCGTTAATCCGAATTAACCCTTCACCCGTCCACACTACAGAGCCAGTTAATTCGAATTAAAGGGCACTTAAAATCGATTTCTGTACTCCACCTCGACGAGCGGAGTAGTGCCTAAATCGATTTTGTTAATTCGAATTAGGGTTAGTGTGGCCGCACACCACCGAATTACTGTGGTTAAAGTAATGGGGTAGTGTGGCCGCACACCACCGAATTAATGTGGTTAAAAACCGAATTAATGTGCTTAGTGTGGCCGCGCACAATCGAATTTATACAACCTGTTTCCCAAATTCGAATTATCTAAATTTGGATTAATCCTGTAGTGTAGACATACCCTGAGACCCACCCATCCCCCTTCTGACACTCAAACTGAGAATTAGACAGAAAGGTGGAGGGAATTACGGTCTAATCCAGAAATCTCTGCTTACCCCGACTGTTACAGGGGACGGGACAGAAGAATCTCAATCCGACCTCAGGGCTTCCTCGCACGCTATGGCTTCCACCCCGAGGAATTACAAACGAGAAGCTCCGTTCCGCCCACACACCTAACACCCAAGCGTACAAGACAGAAATTCATTAACCGGTTAACCAGATCAGAACCAGAACCAGAGTCAGATAGTGTTTCCTTATCCTATTAGGGCTCACCTTATCGGAGCACGAACCCCAGGGGCTGCAGTGAAGTGAGGAAAAGGGGCTAAGCACCCCGTTGGCGCCGTTCCTAGTTCGCCGCAGCCATCCAGAGTCCAATGTCCGAGCTAGGAGGGTCCCATCTGGGTCGCCAGAAACTGTTACCGAAATGTCGGGTCCGCCTAGCTGAGAGCCAGTAACAGCCAGACAGGGATAAGGAAAAGGTTGCTTTATTCTGCAGAAGAAAAGAGAGCTTTGCACCTTGGTACAAAAACTCTAACTCATACAAAAGCCAAAGATCTTTTATACACTCAAACACAGGCCCTGGTCATGGTAACATTTGATTGGTGGTTAACAGACCCTGTACTTCTGCTATCTGGTCAGTGAAAACCAGTTTGGGACCAGCTCCAACTACCTCAAGGCCTTGAAAGGGAAAACAGTTGAAAAGTTCAGGCAACTGTGTACTTGAGGTGTCTGCTTCCCCCTAATGGCTGCTGGCTGCCATAACGGCTGCTAGCTGTTAAAGGGGGGCGGGGGGAGTCGCTGCTGACTGTCACAGTACTACTCAGTGTAAAACATCAGAATCTAGCCCTTCGATAATATTGATCTAATTCATAGGTGTCACTGCATGAATGATTTCAGAGTAGCAGCCGTGTTAGTCTGTATCCGCAAGAAGAACAGGAGTACTTGTGGCACCTTAGAGACTAACAAATTTATTAGAGCATAAGCTTTCGTGGGCTACAACCCACTTCTTCATGCTATACATACCTGAACAGTACCAATGATCCCTACTTAAACTGATGAATGTGAAGATACAAGGGACAGAAATTCTGAAAAATCAGCTTAATATTTATATAGAAGCCAGGTAATGTCAGTGATATCTTCAGTATATTAACCAAGAAGTGTTTTCAACTCCAAAGAGTGAGACCACATTTGAATGGTGGATGGGAGAAGCCATTGAAAAGTAGAAGAAATAAGTCAATTTCCAATAGCTGGGTTCTGTTCAGGGCACGCTATGATGTGTAGTGGTTCTGCAATTTGAAATCTGCTCACAGTACAGATACTGTAGTGCTTTGACTCCAGAAGTAAATGCATGCTGCCCTAAAAAATAGTGCTTTTTTCACTAAAGATTTCAGAATCCGTGAATCACTTTCTGTAGTACAAAAAGTAAAGTCATAAGACATGTGAATGACTTGGTTGTTTACTACATACATTTTAATGTATTTACTTTTCTTTTTGTGGTGGTGGGAAACTGTATGTAGGATCCAGCGATGCAGTGTTTGCTTCCTGAAAGAGAGAACTTCACAGTGCCACTGAACCATAACGTGGCAGTCAATGGGGAAGGTGGAACTAGAATGTCAGCTATAAGCTTCATAGGTGCTTTGCGAATACCTGTGAGTACATGCATTAGTCTTACCCACTGTACGTTGACTTGGGTTTTATCCGACAGGATTCTGATTTTTATACAGTTTAAATGGAGAAGTGGACAAAGTTGGTTTTCCCATCTCAAAACTGGTATTTTATTCAGTCCTGTTGAGTTTTAACTGGATGTCGGGAATCAGGGAGTCTATGGTATAAGACAAAGTGGGTGTCCTATTCAGAAGAAGAGAGGATACAGAAAAAGGGAACATTTGGCTCAAAGAAGCCAACTGAATACATTAATAAATCACATATTAGAATTTACAAACATCCAAAAAACTAGTGAGTGCAAGTTTAAACCTGCTCTTGGAGTTTTAAGCTGTATAGCTAGCACTCACACACTTCAGAACCCAAGAGTGTGATGACATTATTAACATAATGGGACAATATTTATGTATGAGGGGAAAGAAATAAGGGGATCAGAGAGGCAACCTTGAATTGTCAGGGATGGAGCGGGAGTAGCTGAAATACCTACAGCCTCTTCTGCGGAGGCGACAGAACTGTCCTTTCATATCACCTCTTCTTATGCGCCTTGAAACCTCAGGTAACTGACTAGTCCCAGTTAGAGCTGGTTGGAATTTTCTATCTAATTTGGGGGGAGGGGTTAATGGGAAAATGTAGTTTTCACAAAAATACTGATTTTTCTTGAAATTTTTCACAATGGAAAATTGGAAAAAAAAATTGTTGGGGTAGGGTTGACCTGAATCAAAATATTTCCGTTTATTGAACAGAATCAAAATATTTTGAGTCACTTCAATTTTAATCTGCATCCACCTGAGCTACCATGGTACTTCACTGAAGTTGTAATTCAGGTCTTCCTCATTCTACTCTCTGAGTCAGGCCTCTCAGCTAGACTACATCTCTCATGATGCTCTTCGGTCTTCCCTCTGGCTGAACTGCCATAGTGTATCATGGGAGATGTAGTTTTTGCTGGGGAACCTGGCTCGTAGAGGAGAATGGGGGCATGAGGCATCTGAACTACAATTCCTAGGAGGCACTGGCAGCTTAGGCAGATGCAGTTCAATGTCAAACTGAAACAAAATGTTTCCAAATAGAAATTTTTTGGAACTTTTCATTCCCTGAAAAATGTAGCAATTTTGACTTTTCATCCTGTTTTGAGGCAAAAAACAATGTTAAAATATCAGAATTTCCTGCAGGACAAAAGTTCTGATTTCTGACCAGCTTTAGTCCCAGTGGTTCTGCAATTCTGTGATCTCCTTAAGTGGGATGAACTCTTCATCCAGTATGAGCAAGCTGAACTTCAGTGCATGTGCTTTTTTTGTCAGATGTGTTTTGGTTTTGCTTTTTGGTGGGTGGGTATGAAGTGGAAGTCTGAAGTTGAGCTATATGAATTTGGTATATAATATAATATTCTATAGCCCATTACCCCGTTGTATGTGTATTTGTCCTCATATTTGGAGTAGTTGTATTGATGTACATTATGAAATATTAATAACATTGATTAGCACTTGATTACACCAGGGCTTCACTGCATTAATTGGCTGCCTATGTTGGTTAAGTGTTAAATTGAAAAATGAATTCAACAATTGTTAAAATATGATGGAAACTCCTACCTAGTCTCCTATCTACATCTTCCATAGAGTCAGTGGACCGTGCTCTATCCTGGTACAAGCAGGCTATAACGCCACAGAAGTCAGTAGAGTTATACCTGCTTACAGTAGGATTTAATTTGGGCAGGTGTCACAAATGGCATCACTTCTTCAGGCAGATGATTTCCATCACTAGTAGGTTCATAAATGATAATTGTCATTTTCAAAAGCTCCTAATTTGAAAGCACATTTTATGGCTTATGTAGGGGAGCATCTTACCACTCAAACTTTCAGGCTGCTGGATAAAAGGAAAGGGGGAGTTTGTTTGAATTCAGGGTAATAGCTCTGCTCAGGGAAACACAAATGAAATCCAGCTGGAACTGATATTGGGCCGGTGTGAATGTAGGAAAGAGCTGCTGGCACTATATGCTACCCTCCTGTACCCTTAGATTCTACCCAGTACCTGATCCTGCAACAGCAAGGTGATATGTATCTAAAATATCCTCTTCTGCCTTCTCCTGGAGTCTTCCCCTTTCACTTCTCCTGTCACTTGCTGGTGGGAATGAATAACACTTTAAATACCTCAAGGTGTGAATGGGGGAGGGAGGGTGTTGAGGGGGATGGGAAAGCATGAATGTGGTGGTGGTGGTGGTGGGGCAAATCTCCAGCAATCCATATTGACACTTGCAGGAGTAACATAACAGCAAGAACTTAAAACTGTGTAAAACCCCAAACTGCTGCCAGAAGATGGCAAATGGTGGGGGAAGGATTGACAGGAACAGGTTTATGTGGCAGTCAAATAAACTTCAGCTGTGTTTTTATAATAACTTAACCTTACATAGAATTCTCAGCTAAGGCAATAGGGTAAAAGAATACTGAGACTTGTATGTTAAATAAGCACCCACCCTTACTGTGCTGAGTCCTAACTAGGCACCTCTTTGAGACCATGTACCATACGGGCTGTGTGGATTTTTGAAAAAATAAATACCATTGGTGAAATCCTGGCGCAATTTAAGTTGATGGGAAAACACCCCCAGGTCGCAACAGTATGCACCCAGATCAGTTCTATAAAAGGGAAGATACATGTAACATGACAGAAAATCACTGTCAATCTCTGAAGCGGTTATAAGCTCTATCTGTCCTTATTAGTATTCTGGTTTCTGGTTACAGTTACATGGAGAGAAAAAGCTATACAAGTAGAATACTGCAATCTGCTTTGATCACAAGCTTCATGCTTCCAGAACAGGAAGTCTCAAGGGAGAAATTCCTGAGACAGAAAGGCTTAAGATGCCATTTGGAGATTGCTTGCATGGTGTGGTTTAACAGAAGCAAAGAAACAACAATACTGCATGTCTAGGTACTAACCTTGTTCTTCTTTTTTCTTTTCTTTCCTTAGGGAGTCATAGAATTCTCTCTCTGTTTGTTGTTTGCTAAACTAGTCAGTTACACTTTCCTTTTCTGGCTTCCACTCTATATCACAAACGTAGGTAAGTATCTGTGGGAAGAAAACAAGTGTTTAGTTAGAGAGTGTCATGAACTATGATGAGCCTAGTCACGTGAAAATAAACATTACTGCTTTTGTTTTAAGCTATGGTTGCCCTAGTAGAGTTGAAAGACTGCCGTTTATTATATATGTCAATGATACGTACTGAGAGTTAAGAGATAGCGACCACAAAAATAAGAATCTGATTTCTCTCTGAAAATTGCAAGTCTTTGTGATGTCTTTCGCTCTTGAGAACCAGCCAAAAATATTTAATTAAATAAACCCTATAATAATCATATATTTATAATGGTGCCTTATATCCTGATGGATCCCAAAGAGCTTAATAAGCTGCACAAAGGAATGACTTTATTACTACTATTTATTTATTTTATTAGATCATCACTATCATTGCGCTTTGTGCCATACAGAACATAGAGGAAGGCATGCTGCCCCGAGAAGTTCATATTCTTTGGGCTATCCTCTGGCTTTTAAATCCACAGCCTCAAGACCAGAAGAGACAGGCAGGCAGAATGCCTGTAGGGAAGTGTGTGCAGTAGGGACACTCACTACATCCTTTGACACGCTGCAGCATGCCCTCCTACTAACCAATACTTCTGTGGTAATAGGTTTGATGAAGGGAGAAGATTAGCTAATAAGTTTTTTATGTTTAAAAACAATATAGTTAGTTTTACTATATGAACATTAGAGGCGTTGGGCATCTAACTCCCATAGGTGCTTTTGAATATTCCACCCTATGTTGCAGTAGCGCTCAGATGTCCCGCGGTGCTAGGCACTGTGCAAACACATGCAAAGACATGGTCTTTGTTGCGTATGGTTTATAATCCAGTTGCAGAGGTGTCCCTTTGCATGCTGGGGAGTTCAAGGAGTCATTCTGCCTCCTTCTGCTCCTGGGGCATTGCAGCTTTGCGCTGTTCTTTACTCCAGGCTGCGTTTAACCAACACAATCTAGCTAGCCAGTGATACTGGTCACATAAGTAAGGGCTTCAGGATTAGGCTCCCTATGTGGCCTTAATTTGTACCAAACATGTTTCTGAAACAAAGCAGCATTACTTACTGGTACTTATTAGTAGTGTGGTGCTCTGATTATTTTTAAGACTGTTGCTAATGAACCAGAAAATTCTTGTGTACACACAAGTTTTACCACTTTAACTCAAGTGGCATGAGCCCCTCTAGCTTGGACAGAGTTCTATCAGTATACAATTATTTATACCAGTAAAACTTATTCTTGTAAATAAGTCATTCTGGTGTAAGGCACCTTTATACCAGTATAACTGCACCCACACTAAGTTGTACTGGTTGTAACTAGATGGGTAAAAAAAATCACACCACTAACTAACATAATTATTCTGGGGCAAAAGCTGTCTGTGGACCAGGCTTTACATATGGATCTGAATAAAATGAAGAAATTTCTCATAGTTTTGAAGTGAGAGGCTATTCTAATCAGATTTATTCTGCTTTTATTGTTAGAGCATCTTGATGCGAAAAGAGCTGGGGATCTTTCTACATTGTTCGATGTGGGTGGAATCTTTGGTAAGTTTAACACACTATTATTAATCAGACCTAGGTTAGGAAATCTGTAGTACACATAGCTGTTCTGTTTTACTCTTTTACTAAGAAATTGGGGTTTGATCTTGCATCCACCAGAAAATGGCAAAATTGGCTCCCGTGGGAGCAGGATGGGGCCCTTACAACCAAATCCTATGCCATGTGACCAGCCTTAGTAGCAGGTCTAGGGGAATAAATCCATAGCCCCTTATTTGATCCTGGTGCAAGAAAGATTGGAGGATCCTAGTGTCATAGAAACTTCTGTCTCTGTCCCTTTACCCCTCTCTTCCCCTCTGTCACCACATCCCTGACCCAAAAAGGTATCCTGTCCTCACCCTTGCATAGCAGCACTACACCAATTTTGCAGTTCCTCTGCCCAATGTGCCACAGAAGGGGTCTCCAGGGCAGTGATTGGGGTAAGCTGGAGGAGGTTTCACTGGATCCAGAGTTATGTAGATCTAATGGCCCCTGTACTCTGAGTAAGTGACAGAAAGGGGTTGCAGCCACTGCTCCAGCTTGGCCCTGAATTTCACCTGCACTACTCCTCTCCACTCAGGCTCCGTGCAGGAGAAGTGAATTTCACACCATGCAATTTAAAGCAAGCATAGGTAGGTGTATCTCCATGTTAGAGACTATACCAATGTGGCTGCATGGCTGTAGTTATGGTGGCATAACCGTATAGTGTAGAGGGACCCTATATTGTCAGAAGGAGTTTTTCCATCATTTTAAGAACACCACCTCCCGGAACAACAGTAGCTATAATAATACCTAGTCCTGCCATGAGGGCAGGGGACTGGACTAGATGACCTCTCGATGTTCCTTCCAGTCCTAAGATTCTATTATTCTATGTCAACTGAAGCATTCTTCCATTGACATAACTGTGTCTACACTGGGGGTTATGTTGACATAGCTATGTCAATCGGATGTGGGCTTGCTCATACTCCTGACCAAAATAGCTATGTTGACTTCTTTTAAGTGTAGACCAAGCCTAGTTAGCACCCGGAAAATAGAGATTTTATTCAGCAGTCTAAACACAAATCTCGCTCCACTGCAAATCCAAGCCACCAACATAGCTACTTGCAGAGCTTGATGGGGACCCAGATGTGTCAGTGCGATATATATATAGCTGGGCATTTTGCTGTGAGGGTTACCCTTTGAAAAGAGGGAAGGGGGGCAGTAGAGTATGGAAGAGTTGGGAAAACAAAAGTGCACTTGAAAAATTATTGCAAAAGGGCTATAATAATTGGGTCAAATGGAATAGGAAAGAGCACTTCAAAAGTATTTATCTGTAATTTGGGGGTTAGTTCTCCTGCCATCCACATGCTTACCAGAATATTGATCCATGGGTCTTTTCTCTCCCTGATGCAGGCTCCTATTTTCTGGGTTTAACTCCTTGATGAGAAATGGATTTATTATTATTGTTTCATTTTGTATAGCAGTAGCACCCAGGAACCCGAGTCATGAATTTAGAGCCCCGTTGTGCAAGACACTGGACAAACAAAGAACAAAAAGGAGGCCGCTTTCCTAGAGAGCTTACAATCTAGGTATAGGACAAGAGGCAACAGGAGGAGACAGGCAGACAGGGCAGCATGAGGAGACAAGATGGAATCCCTATTGCATCCTTGCCAGGGTAGCCAAAGGATGTATCCAGTATTAAACTGAAAGCAGACACAGGGTGGCTTCTGGTAACCCTACCAAGTGATTTGTGGCTCAGTAAATGTGGGTGGCATACCTCTGGATCTTACACTTGAATTCAGATGGGACACAGGGTTTATGATGATGGCTCTTTTGTCATGGTCAGACTATAACATCCTACATGTTGAGGCTAGGCTTATTCTTCCTCCAGAGGAGATGGAGGCCTTAATTCATTGGTTCAACCCCAGAAGCTGGTTTGACGCAGTTGGGTTCCAAAACACCAGGTGGAAAATACTGGCGAGCCACTCTACTAATGACACAGTGTAGCCATACCCTAGAGGTCCCCTCCAATTACATCATCCTGGGTGTACAGATGACCTGAGAAGGAGCCAATGAGGCAGACTACAGTGCCTGTCGCGGTTGTCCAGCTCAATCTAATCATTTGTGGCATAGATGATAATAATAAAGCTACTAACTCAAACTAGATTTTCAGTCCTATGTTCTGTGTGTGTGTGTTTATAATAGAAGTGTACCTTTACAACAATTACACTGGATTGCTGTAACTTTGGGGAAATATATGTCCAATTATAGTGCATAAAATGCTCATGAAATAACCTTTTTGTTCTTTAATGTGTCTCTTTTTCAGGTGGCATTTTGGCAGGCATGATATCAGATAGATTGGAAAAAAGGGCTTCAACCTGTGGAATGATGTTACTACTAGCAGCACCTGCCGTAAGATCTACTCTCCTTATTTTAGTTGTGCCCTTTTGTGCGACTGGGTGAGGTTCTGTGAGCATTTCCATTAGAGATTCCTGTTCTCAGCAGTCTCTGACCATTCACCCCAGGTTGAAAGTTGCTCTGAAAAGTCTCCGCACAAGAGCCAACACAGAGGTTTGGGCTGGTTTTAATAAATTAAATATGCCATTCTTTAGCACGTCATATGCTATAGGACTCTATGAAAAATTGTCACATTCAGCTGGCTTTGACAGCACTCACTAAAAATAATAATTTTCCCTCTGTTGACACTCACACCTTCTTGTCAACTGTTGGAAATGGGCCACATCCACCCTAACTGAATTGGCCTCGTTAGCACTGACCCCCTTGCCCCCACTTGGTAAGGCAATTCCCATCTTTTCCTGTGCTGTATATTTATACCTGCTTTTACTGTATTTTCCACTCCATGCATCTGATGAAGTGAGTTATATCCCACGAAAGCTTAGGCCCAAATAAATTTGTTAGTCTCTAAGGTGCCACAAGGACTCCTCGCTGTTTTTACTGATACAGACTAACACGGCCACCCCTCTGAATCCTTTTACTCAGTTATTCAATTCTGAATCAGAATTGGGCAAGTGATTTGTCTTTTTGATTTAAATAATCAAAATTGCTGAGCTGTTAATGTTAGGAATCTGGCTGCCACATATGTGCAGTGTGATTTTTATAGTATATGTCTACAATGCATACACTGATCTTGCCAGAATCAGCAGAACTCTGTGCTATGCTTTATTTGAAAGTGACAGGTTAAAAAATTATGGTCATATTAATTAGCTATCTCTATGAGACAGGCAGCCTCATGGGGAAATTGACGGTGATTTCCATGCCAGGGGACTCCAGCACCAAAAATAACAAACAACTTTTCATCACAAAGACAACTGTATTTTTCATGTTGTGACATTAAGGAGATTTTTTTGTGTATGTGAAAACCTACAATTCTGTGAAGAGAAGGGGCCTTAACTTCCTCTCATTCAACTTCAGTGGGAATTTATGCTGGTGAAAGCGTGAGATCAGAATCAAACCTTATTCTTCTGTTTTTACTACTTAAATGTTTACCCATTCATATCCATTACAGCTATACATGTTCTCTGCAATCAGTAAAATGGGCCTAGAAGCTACCATAGGTGAGAACTTAAATTACATTCTGCCTGCTTTTAACTGGACTTGATTTTCTTTTACTTTTGTTCCATTCACACTGATTTTTCTGGGGAAAAAGTCTAGAAACTAATTGTCTGCTTTTCAGAGGTGTTGAACACCTGCGGCTCCCATTGAAGTCAGTTGGATTTCTGCTTAGCCTCTTTAGAGGCCATGAACCACCCGTAGAAAAAGGGCAGAGGACAGCATTTTGGTAGCACAGTAATTTCATTTCAGGCCATAGGAAAAATGATTACATTAGAGCTGGTCGAAACATGGAAAACCTCTTCCACAAAAAAATTGGAAAATTCAAAGCCCTTTTTATTTCAGGGGTTTCAAAAAGAAATGATATTTTTCCTCTATTCAATGTGTTTCATAAAAAAAAATTGGAAAAACTTTTTGGTTTAAATGTTTTATTTTTGCTTTTTGAGTTTCTCTTCTCCTCTCATCCCATCCCCACTTTTATCCATTTCACTGCTGGTAAAGGGGAGGGAGGAAATCTGAGAGACAGACAGACGCACACACAAAACTAAGACATTTTCACCAAAAACATTCCAATTTTGAAAAAAGGACACTTTTTTGAAGGGGGGACCCTTTGTTTGACCATTTTTGACCAGCTTTGAATTACATCTAGCAGATTGTACCACAAGAGGGGCAGTCTGACAGAATAGGCTGAGGGGGAGGAGGTCTCTGTGTGGCTCCCCTTGCAGAGTTTCTCCCCAGCCATTCTGTTGGAGGGGGATGTTCTCTAGGGCCTGCCCCCAAAGCTGGAGGAGCCTCACATGCATGTGCTGCGTGGAAGCCTGTATTTGCCCCCCAGAGCTCCCCATCAAATTCCCTGGCAGTGCAGCTGAACTGGAGTCACACTCCCAGGACCTTCCATTGCCTTGCTGCCCCTGTGATTCCCCCACCCCCTTAAATGAGGGTTCCCTTCCACTTAAGGACTTCTGCTAGCTAACACCTCCTCCAAGCTGTGTCACTACTTCCAGGGACTCTCTGTGGGACTGGAAGGAGGATGATGCCCTAGGAAGGGGAGGATGGTGTCCCTTCCACTCAGGAGGGTGAGAATCATGCACAGAGTGGTTGGAAGTGTGATCTGGGCTATTGTTTGACTTACAGAAAGGCAGATTAAAAGTAGGAGTAGAGTTCATTCCTCTCAGCCTCAAACACTGATGAATCTTGAAAGCCTTTGCAGGGGGAGGAAGATAAGGAAATCCAAAGACAATAAAATACTCTTGAATTAATGGGAACAGTTTGATCTCCTTTTGAAAGCAGAAAGGAGCATAATTAACTTAAAAATCACACTTCTCTCTGCAAATGTTGTACCTATTATTGTTATAAGTAACCACTATAGCATCTTAGAAGAAAACCGTTTTTTAAAAAGTCTTGTGCAGTTTTAGCTTATACATTTGTATGTTGTACACCCACTTTCACCATTTTCCCTTTTTGCTCGAGTCTTTCAACAGGGGGAGAAAAACACTAGGGGAAAACAGGAAATGTATTTATAAAACCACAAAAATTATCCTGGGAACTCAGTAGCCAGGACTGTTCTGGAAACTATTTGCAATTCTATTTTAAATGAACAATATCTTTGTGAGTTTGCATTTTTAGGGGTCAGGAAAAATATTCCTCGAGTGGATTGGGGACTGAAGCATGCTGATAGTGTGTAGAGAATTATTAGGAATTAGGTGGTCAAATATTTCTGTAAGGAAGCTCAAATAGAGGCATGTAATTGTAAGGAGAATCCACCTCTGAGCTGACCCAGTGCCTCAAAATGTACACTGTCGGATAACTGTGTTTAAGGGTGTTGGAGTCCTACTCTCTGGCTCATTGCAGACTAGAATCATTGTTACAAGGATACATCTCTGGGTGCCATAAGTATGACTGAGTTGAGATGGGACAGAGGGAATTTAATCAAGAAAAACTGACAGAACAGCATGCATCAACGAAAATGCTCTTGCCTCCCTGAGGCTGTGATAAGGGGCTTTTCTTTTTGCATGGTCAGGAAATGAGTGGGGGTAGGGAGTGAGAACCATGAATAACCAGTGAATAACACTGGTTTCTGTACCTGGAACTGAGAGTGCTCGATTCCCTCTTCCAAGTATCAGAGATGATTAAAGAGTCTCTTATAAACGTAAAGGGGTTCTGACCTTTTGTTGGGATAAACTCAGTTTATTTGTGGCCTCCTACCAAATACAAAAGGAGAGGACTTGAAATGTGAAGGCAGTGCTGGTGGTGAGGTTTTGTATGTATGGCACAAGCATCCAAAGGCCCCGCTGAGCTTTGGAGCCCCATTGTGGTAGGCCCTGTACAAACAGATAAAGGACTCTTCTCCGCCCAGAAGGGTTTACAGTCTAAAAGGCACAAGCAGCCGAAGAGCTGGGAGTGGACACATCATGTTCTCCACTGTGCCGGAAGCAAACGCCCCTTTGTGCTTAAATCTGTCCATTGCTACTGAGATGGCTTTTTACCCTTGTTTTCCTTGGTAGCCATTTTGAAGCAAAATTGTACTTCCCATGAATCTACTCTTGTAGTTACATTGAATTTATTAAAGACATGTAGTATGTTAAATGATCAAGGTCTAGATCATCACGTGGGATTGTGATTATAAATAACATCAATTCTGGAAACTTCGTGTTTACTTTTCTTCATCGAACTTCCAACAGTTATGCTGCTTATCAGTGGAGCCCTGGTGAACGGTCCTTATGCACTGATCACAACTGCAGTCTCAGCCGACTTGGTGAGTTTGGCTCTTTTGTTTTACATTTAGCAGATAGACCCGCTCGTTTGCCCTCATTTGGGGGGGGAAGCCTGTGGGTTTCTGTGATGAGTAGTAAATGTGTGTAAAGCATTGAGGGCTCAATTCTCCGTAGTACAGATGTGGTGTGTGTGTGTGTGTGTGTGTGTGTGTTGCACTTCTGTGTACAAGGTAAAGAGTAATGAGCAGGATGGGGAGCATTAAAGAACTCAACCCTGCATTAATACTGATAATTACTCCTGCCTCCTAAGAAGAGAGATCAAAGAGGGGATCTCTTAGATAAACACTTCATGTGCGTGCTGAGGATCACACATAAGGCCACAGGAGATGTGCCATTTGCCACCCACATCCTGCACTTTTTTTACCCTGCACCTTTGAGAGTAAGGGACCAGGTGTGCAATGGGCTGGAGGCTTATCTCCATTAGGTGTGGAGAGCACTGCCTGGTGCTTGCCCTTCCTTGTGCTCATGTTAGCCTCTGCTCACCCATATACTGCACCCCAGTCAGCCTGTGCTCCCTGCCACCCTGCCACACCAGGCCCTGCAGGCTTGTGGTCTGACTGCAGCAGATGCTCCATGAAAACATTGCCCCGGGTACCTTTTCTTCAATTTTGCTTCTCAATGCTAGGTAAATGTATTGCTTTGAAAGGTGCTGGGTGGTGGGAGCCCCACAGAGTGAGGTCATTCACCAGCAGAATAGGTAGAGGAAAGGCAGCGGAATTTAAATCCACACCCCATCCCAGCATTCCTCCTGAGCCTCCTTAGTGATCAAAAGGGAGCACCGGTAGGGTTGAGAGAATGCTCCCCCTTCAGGTCCATTCAATCAATAGCCTCATTGCTGTGACTGGCAGCTAGACTGTAGGATCTTGTCACATAGAGACCTGCCCTCTGGGAGCTGGACAGAAACCGCCAACTGATTTTCTCATATGTCACTAAACAACCATCTGACACTAATGACTTTAGGCGACTGGTGACCTAGACTGAATTCTCCTCAGTGCCCTGAGTAAATGAAAGGCTCTGTCTTCTTAACAATCCTCTGAGCCATTCAGTCTCCTATATACCAAGTTATAAACTTGTTCCTATGATCATTCGTTTTGCTCTGCAGTCCTATTGAATAACTGGCCTAATGAAAATGACCTTCACAACTACTTCCTTTTGGTGCCTTTTGACTCAATAACCTGCTGAGTGGCCCTTTTTATGGCTTTTATCATTGATACTCTAGCTTTGTTAGTATTCTTGTCCAACTAGTGATTCTCTTCTATTCTGCAGAGCTTTCTGATATCAACAATGGCTGTACTGACAGACCACTATGCAGTTTCAGAGAAAAATTGCAGGCTTCAAGCACAACCCATTCTGCCTGAACACCTTGCATGCAGAATAAAAAGGGTTATTTATAAAGAACATCATTAAAATAGATTGGTCATGGGGGATTTTTTTTAAGCAATGATAAAAGGGTCTTGTCCATACCTATGGAACGCTACTTGGTAACGTTCATGCTAACATGTTCATACCTGTCTAACCTAATTGCCTTCTATGATGAGATAACTGGCTCTGTGGATGAGGGGAAAGCAGTGGACGTGTTATTCCTTGACTTTAGCAAAGCTTTTTGATATGGTCTCCCACAGTATTCTTGCCAGCAAGTTAAAGTAGTATGGGCTGGATGATAAGGTGGATAGAAAGCTGGCTAGATCGTCGGGCTCAACGGGTAGTGATCAATGGCTCCATGTCTAGTTGGCAGCCGATATCAAGCGGAGTGCCCCAAGGGTCCTGGGGCTGCTTTTGTTCAATATCTTCATTAATGATCTGGAGGATGGCGTGGATTGAGGTCCCTTCCAACCCTGATATTCTATGATTCTATGATTTTCTATGTATTTGTCCATTATTTCATGATATGTTTTTCTATGGGAAAGGCCAGGAGTATGATGCAGATACATGGCCATTTCCCAGGCTCATCTGTAAATGGTTCTGAACTGAGTATTTGTCACTGTAGGGTACCCATAAAAGTCTGAAAGGAAATGCAAGAGCCCTGTCCACAGTTACGGCTATCATCGATGGAACAGGTTCTGTAGGTAAGCTATCGTTCGGAAGCTGCCTGCCTTATCTGCAGTAGGCTTTCTGTGGCTCTAGGTGCTAGAGAATTACAGTGTAGTTCTGCTCTGAAAGAGGACTAAAGCTGGCATCAAGGAGTTCCATGTCTGTGTCTCAATGATTTGCACATCATGTGTGCGCAGTTTGCATATAAAATGATGGCTCCCTCCCCCCCCCCCCCCAACTGCCAGTGCTACAAAATCAACTCAGGCTCTTTATCAAGCTGGATTCTCTCCATGTCACACCTGGCCAGTACTAAGCATCACTTTGGGAGTGGAGAATGGGCAAAGACGGCTTTAGGCCTCCTTTGTACTTCCCCAGGCTTGGTGGTGGTGGGCTGGCCCCCAGCACAAATTAGAACAGTATACTATTCTGGGTACCTGAGATCAAGGATGCCTTGGTTATGCCCTCTGCACCAGCAGTGGTGAGGGAGGCAGAGATCCACCGTGATAGACCTACACAACCTGCAAACACCTCTAACCAAGGGGAATCATCCACTGGCCATCCAGCTACACCAGTGTTATGGCAGCTTTGCAGCCATATATACTGTCTATAAACCTTATGGATCCTCTTACAAATGTATGCCAAAATGGGTTTGCTTTTATGAAGGTTGAAACTGAGTAAAATATCCAAACACAGAATATCTTGTCATAGGAACTAGTAATGTTTCCATCTCAGAATTTGAACATGTTGTGTCACTATTGTATTTTAGGTGCTGCTCTAGGGCCTCTGTTAGCTGGTCTCATCTCTCCCTCTGGTTGGAACAATGTATTTTACATGCTAATGGTGGCAGATGCATGTGCCTTATTAGTAAGTCTAAATAAAACATTTAGTGCCATATTTCTTTCTTATAAAGCCCTTTGTGTTAAAATGGAAATTTCCTCCTTGTATTGTGATTTGTATATTCTATTATTGAGTGGGATGTTTCCATTCATGTTGTAGAGTTCTTTTTGTTTTTTTTTTATTTAAAGAACTAAGATGAGCATTTTGAAATTCTTGTTGAACTTTGAAGCTGGAGAGCAGATTAGCTTCAATGGGTGATATCTGTATGCAGTAGCTCACCAAAGGGATTGCCACAAACATAGTTGGAAGCAAAAATTCACATCAGTTTTGGCCCACAGAAGAATTCTTCTGTTTTTTCTCTTAAAGGCAGCACCGAAGCAGCAACGTCAATTTACTGAAATAGTAACACATTTTGCTGCATTGCCACAGAATCAGTATCACCATGGTAATTCAACTGTTAAGAATGAATGCCTCACGTATTCCAATTGGGTGTCCATCACATCTTTCTCCTATTTGACAAAGTGTAATGGATGGGATGATCTGAAAAGAGGCTGTTTCTGACTTGCCCTATTTTATCTTATCTAGGCAGATTGTCTTCTGTGGTGTTTAAGGCACAAAATAAGGAGTCAGGAGATCTGTGGACTAATTACTTGCTGGTGTAACTATTAAAATCAGTGGTGTTACAGCAGCAGAGAATATAGTCTGGAGGTTCCGTTTCTAATTTTGCCACCGACTTCCTGAATGCGCTTCGTCAAATCTCTTAACTTCTATGTGCCTCTTGTTTGCCCCTCTGCCAAGGGAGGATGACATTATGGACCCACCTCAGAGAGGGTTAGGGAAGGTTCATTTATTAATCCTTTGTAAAGTGCATTGGTATCACTTGCTGGAAGGTGGTGACAGAAGGGCTAAATTTTTGTTAGACACTTCAGAATCAGGCCCCTGTCTGATCTGCACAGACAGTCCCATATGCCATACAGTTCCATTGAATTCAGTCACGTACATGCAGGGAAGGTAGGGTGACCAGACGTCCCGATATTAGGGGCGTTGTCTTAGATAAGCAACTATTATCCCCCACACACACCCTGTCCCGATTTTTCACATTTGCTATATGGCCACCCTAAGGGAAGCAGTCCCCCTGTGAGGGTCAGATTGCACATCTCTAACTCAAGAAAAAGGTTGGTTTGTTGCCAAGTTGTTCCACATTATAGAGTAAGATGTTTGGAAATTAATAAATAAAATGGACAAGTTAGTCAGATTTCAAGAGGCACTCCCACAAATATTCAGTAGTTTTTAGATTGTAGCTCTTTTAGTACACCAAGAGACTGCGTTCATGTTGCTATGGCCCGGTACAAGTTCCAATTCTTCTGAAGGAGCTGAATGTCACTTTCCATCATAGATGGAAACCTCTGCTTCCCACTTGCTGGGTCCTATCAAGTGAATGAATGTGTGTTTATACATGACTGCATAACTTCTTTACTCAGCCATTACTGGTGCTGCAAGGATTTATACTAGCCAGTGGGTAAATTCCTTGTCAGGGTGATAAATCCAGCTATTGGAACCTTTTTTCTTTTTTTTGCCCCAATATAACAAATAGAGCTTTTAAGATCTATATTTTAAACGGATTTTTTTTTTCAAAAGTGCATGAGGGAATTAGGCCCTTGAATTCAATTGAATTCCAATGGGAATTAAGTGTGCAAAGGGGGAGTAGGTGCCTTAAAAAATCACAGCCTTCATTTCTAAGAATAGTTGTAACTGGTTCACACTGATAATAGCCAGAAAACATAGAAAATTGAAATTTTCTTAGCATGGGTTTTTCATCAAACATCGTCTGTAAGATCACTCTTCTGTTTCCTCTTGATGGAGGGCTGTATTAATTGGTATACCTATGACAATAAGTATAAAGGGCCTGATCCTGCAGTCAGTAATGGACCTGAGTAAGTTTAATTGCTTACAGGATTAGACCCAAATGTGTGTCTCAGAGCAATGGTGGTATAATAGATACCATTTTTCTTGCAGTCTTGCGCTCCCTCTGCTGGTCTCATCAGAGTCTTGCTGGTACAATACTAAAATAGTTATTGTTAGAACTGGTAAAAAATGGTGAGGCAGGGAGGACAATCACTATGAATTTCACTCATTTTCATTCCACAGATTTAGAAGTGGAACAATTTTTTTGTTTGAAATAGTAATCCCAAATGTTTGGGAATTTGGGGCAGGGGTGTTGAGGTGGGATGGGGATTTTCTCCAGTTTTCCTTCCTCTTCCCCCCCCGCCCAACTTTGCCACTGAAAAGGTGGGCAGAAGGGGGGGAAAGGTATGTAGGGAGAGGAAGAGAAAAAATAATTTGAAAAAACAGCAGTTTTTGTTTTTTCAATTTTGTCACAATGCGGGGTGGGATTGCAAAAATGTTCTATTTTGAAAAATGTCCATCAGCTCCAGTTCTTGCATAACCTCTGGATCCTTGCTGATACAGAGAAAGACTTTGATTTAGCTCCTCTCACAAATTCATCTTCCAACCATTGACTGAACATGTGAGAATATAATGGGTTTCTATTCGGTCGAACCGGGATAACATTAAATGAAGTATTCAGAGTAGCAGTGTGCGTTTGACACTGAAAATTTATCTGAGTGGTTCACCTGTCTAGATGTTTAACCCAGATTTGTTTTTGTACAGTTCTTACTCCGTCTTATACGAAAAGAACTCCAGTGTAAGATGGACCAGACCTTGTAAGTCTGTTACTTGTGTTTTTCTATATGATGATTAAATGTTTTCATATGTCATTCTTGGCTTCTCCACCTTTGATGTGCTCCTTCTCCTTGCAGAAATCATGGATTCTTCCTTTATGTGCATGTACCTTAATCTGTGAGATTTTTCTGTTTTGTAAAGAGTAACCTCTTTTTCTTTAAATCATGAAAATCTTTCTTCAAAACTATTTTTTAAAACAGTAGAGAAAATTGAGTTCTCTGTCACATTCTCTGTACATTTTCTCCAAAAGTTGGGGCCCTCTTAATTTATCACCCTTGAGTGTGAAACTTGGCAATATGAGGTTTTTGGTTGGCTGGTGGTGGAATTATTTTAATAGCTCAATTTGTACTTTTTTTTCAGAAGTTGGCAGGAAGGAAAGGGTGGTTCAATAATGATCTGGAGGATGGCATGGATTGCACCCTCAGCAAGTTTGCAGATGACACTAAACTGGGAGGAGTGGTAGATACGCTGGAGGGTAGAGATAGGATACAGAGGGACCTAGACAAATTAGAGGATTGGGACAAAAGAAATCTGATGAGGTTCAACAAGGACAAGTGCAGAGTCCTGCACTTAGGATGGAAGAATCCGATGCACTGCTATAGACTAGGGACCGAGTGGCTAGGCAGCAGTTCTGCAGAAAAGGACCTCGGAGTTACAGTGGACGAGAAGCTGGATATGAGTCGACAGTGTGCCCTTGTTGCCAAGAAGGCTAACAGCATTTTGGGCTGTATAAATCAGAGCATTGCCAGCAGATCGAGGGATGTGATCATATCCCTTTATTCGGCATTGGTGAGGCCTCATCTGGAGTACTGTGTCCAGTTTTGGGCCCCACACTACAAGAAGGATATGGAAAAATTGGAAAGAGTCCAGCGGAGGGCAACAAAAATGATTAGTGGGCTGGAGCACATGACTTATGAGGAGAGGCTGAGGGAACTGGGATTATTTAGTCTGCAGAAGAGAAGAATGATGGGGGATTTGATAGCTGCTTTCAACTACCTGAAAGGGGGTTCCAAAGAGGATGGATCTAGACTGTTCTCAGTGGTAGCAGATAACAGAACAAGAAGTAATGGTCTCAAGTTGCATTGGGGGAGGTTTAGGTTGGATATTAGGAAAAACTTTTTCACTAGGAGGGTGGTGAAGCACTGGAATGGGTTACCTAGGGAGGTGGTGGAATCTCCTTCTTTAGAGGTTTTTAAGGTCAGACTTGACAAAGCCCTGGCTGGGATGATTTAGTTGGGGATTGGTCCTGCTTTGAGCAGGGGGTTGGACTAGATGACCTCCTGAGGTCCCTTCCAACCCTGATATTCTATGATTCTATGATTTCAAACCAGTGTAAACCCAGAGAAGTTCCACTAAATCAATGGAGTTATACAAAAGTAAAACGAGTGCAAGTGAAATCAAAATCAGGTCCCTCATCTGTAAATATAGCATAGAATAGGAAAGTGTATAACAAAGAATGTGGACAGCATTTTGAATTTATTGATATCTTATTATGCACTGCTTCCAAACTTCTCATATTAGCTATTTTTTCACAGGTTTAAAGAACACTGACTTATGATATCTCAGACATGGAATTAAGGTCTTCATGTGTGATCAAAACTACGCCCTCAAAAGACTGTGGAATAAATTATTCTGTATTTGTGATTTGTCTTGTGGAGCATTTTGCACATTTACCAGGAGAGAATTGAGAAATTCAGCTGGTGAATTCCTGGTGAAGTTTTTTTGTTTTTGTTTTGTTTCCTGTTTGCACATACATCAGTCTCTCAGGATGGTGACTGTTTATCACATGAAGAGACAGAAGCTTTGGGAAGCTGTATGCCTTAACTGAGCCAAAAAAGAAATACCAAGTGCCTTTTGATTCATGTTGATAGGATATTTTAAGTAAACCTTAAACTGCTTATTTTTAACAAACTGCAAGGAGATTTGAGAATAGAGCACAAAGAAGAAAATGAACTCTCTTCGGATGCTTCAGCAGTGGAATGTGCCAATGGTATTAGCAAAGTGTCCTTTAAGAACATAAGAATGGCCATACTGGGTCAGACCAAAGGTCCATCTAGCCCAGTATCCTGTCTTCCGACAGTGGCCAATGCCAGGGTCCCCAGAGAGAATGAATAAAACAGGTAATCATCAAATGATCCATGCCCTGTCACCCATTTATGCCACCTCTTAAAAGATAAGGTCATCACACTATGTGAAAGTACCAGCTGTCTCAGATTCACTGCTATTCAATATCCTGAAACAGTTTAAACAGTAAGAAAGTAGTCCGACCATATTATCAGACTTTAACTACAGCACTAACTTATCCTACACTGTAAAATCCCAAGGGCCGCATTCTGCTCTTTTATGTGTAATATATTGGAACTTGTACATAAGTAGTTACAATGTGCTGTAAAAAAGTAGCCTCCACTAGCCCCCTGGATGGGAAGTTTTGCTCATTTGGGGTTGTCAGAAAAGGAGACTCAAACAACAAAGAGGCTTATTATGATGGCGCATTTCCTGTAAGGAGTTCTAATGATTTGTAGGGCATTATACACTGGTTGTACAGACTTTATAGAATTGTTTTATTGTTAATTCTATAGGCTCCTTTGGAGTTGCAGGTTATTTTTAATTTGGAGGGCAAAGGCATTGTCTCACCTGTGACTGAAGCTTTAGCACTAGCTGCTTTTTTTTTTTTTTATGGGTGAACAAAAAATTGGCTGGTTTAAATCCTGATCCTGAAATGGTGTTGAGTTCAAGCACCCATTGACTTCAATGGGGCTGGATGCAGTGCAGGGAGTCTGTCCACTCAGAGCTCATTGCAGGATCCGGACCTTAATCATAGCACCAAAAATCTGTCAAAAGACTAATGTTGCAGTCCAAGTTTAGAGCCAAAGTATATAGTTTAAAAAAAAAAAAAACCTGACCCACATACTGGACATAAAGTTGAGAGAGGAAATTCAGAGGTTTATATTATCCTGTAAGTGCACGTGTTAGTGTTTTCATAATACACTGTTTCTTCTTGATCTGACAGTTTTTAATCTCCTTCCAATAGAAGACAAGCTTCTGGTGAATATTTGTAAGATGTACAATAATATTAAAGGGAATTTCTATAAAAGAGATGTTTATTATGTTGACTATAAAGGTTAAATAGACTTAAACTGTATATTGTTATAATGTGTATTTATTAAACCTCTGCATAACTGTTCTGAATTTTTTGCTTTTTTAACTTTTTTACAAAATACTGTGGTACTGTACATACCTCACTTGCTTAACAAAATAACCTTTTTTTAAAATAACCCTTCAGAACATACAAAAAAATTTCTTCTTTCTCATCAACTTCTTGTTTGCATTTTTGTTTCTGGCACAATGCTTAATCTTTTTGGGTTGTTTTGGGTGGTGGTGGTTTTGTTTTTGTTTTAAATCCTTTAACCTTTGAGCAGTTGTTCTTGAACTCACGCTTTTCTCATGTTTTTTTGCATTTTTGGCCCTGATTCAGCAAAGCGCTTAGGCACGTGCTTAAATGCCATTGACTTGAACAAGACTTCACAAATGCTTAAAGCTAAGCACTTGCCTATGCACTTTGTTGCAAATAAAGGTCCCTACTCAGCAAAGAATCGGCCTCAATCCAATAGATTTATGCATGTGCCAAAGTCCGTGTGTGATCCATGCCAGACAACGGTCTATGTTCTGCAAAGATTTACGTAAATGCTTAACTTCACACATTGCGAACAGATTCATTAAAATCAATGGGACCGCACACACTGCATAAAGATAAGCACATGCCTAAGTCTTTGCAGGATTCAGGCCATAGTTGTCAAAAAACTCCACCATTTGCAAGTAGTTGTTTTTAAAGCTTTGTCACTCCAGCTAAAGTCTTATGTTAAAGTGCTTCTAACTGTATTAGTTGATAACAGAATTATACTGTTAAGATGTTTAGTGTATTCCAATTTTAAGTGTTTCCTTCTTAGGAGCTGACATTATTCATTTCATTTTTTATTTTTTGGCAATATAAGAGCCCACATGTGAGGCAGTGAACGTGTCCCAGGCAGGACTAAGAGCCCTCCCTCCCACTGACTGCACTGGTGAATTAGAGCTCTCAGCTACTCACATTGTGTCCTTTATGGTTCGGAAGTTTAGATTCTTTTGAATTTACACAATCCTTGCAGTTCACTTAACTCATGTGGGATTTTCTTCAGTGTTGTGATATTCTCTTTACCACTTTATTTGGGGTTGAGTGGGAGAATCCACAACTGTAAATAAAAAAAAACCCACTAAAATGTTAGCCAGCAAATTAAATGTCAAGATATGTTGAGGAATAACAAACCTGGTGAAGCATTAATGATGTTTTCTAAGGTGTTAGGAAATTGATTAATTTCTGTGCCAGGAAAAAATTTTGTCATCATATGGAATTCCCTGGTCATTAAGGCCAAAGGGTTTTGTCTGTAACAGGAATTCTGCCTGACTAAGAACAGCAGGATCAGGCTTAAAATTTCCAAAGGGCCCTCAGCCTAACCTCTAAATGTGTTCACAGTTTGCATGTGTAATCATTTTCCGGTGCAGATAATTAAATTTGAAGGCCTAACTCCCATACCTAATTTGCCCATGGGGAAGGAATTTGGTCACTTCTCTTTTATAATCAGCCCTAAAATTCCTTGCATTCTGAACAAACAGTGCATTTTGTTAGCTTCTGGTGTCAATACTCATTCACCTGGGGGTGAACAAATCTGGTGACAAATGTGTACAGGAATGTAGAAGTGTGGTAGTCAAAGTAGGCTTAATATCTGAATGTGAAGCGTTTCCATTTTAAATAGTTATTATTTGCAGATTAAAATATTTTTTCATAGCATGTATTGAATAAAGATGGATTCTGTATTTAAGTTTAAAATGTGGATCGCTTTTTGCCTCTTTTATATCTTAATAAGGAAATTGTCCATTTCCGGCCTGTGAGAGTAGCCCCTTTCTTGCGGGAGTAGTGGAGATAATTTATTAAGGAAAACAAACT